GGAGCTTTCAGCTACGTTCTCACGGGTCTCCTTGCCTCCTTGCCTCCTTGCCTCTGTTCCTCTCTGATCGCTCTGTCACACTGTCCCTGAGTAACTGTTCCCTTCTGCAGATCTGACTGGGTCATCTTCCAAGGGCTGAGCATTGTTGTTGCCTGGCTTGGTCCCCAGCTCCCCTGCACCCTTGTCTCCCTCCTCAGCCCTAGATACAGCCTAGGACAGCCATGCTGGGTCTCCAGAAAGATGCCACACTTTCTGACCTTTGAGCCTTCTGTATGAATAGCCCAACCCCAGGCCCAGCCTCCTTCCTTTGGCACCAGAGATGGAGCTAATGCCTACCCCTAATGCTTCCCTTGGTGTAGCCCTACCTACTTCCTTGCCGTGTACCCAGGGACAGCAGGCTCTTCAAGGGCAGGGACTGTGGCTTGCTCACTGGACAATCTCCTGTGAACGCTCATTACTTCTTTTCCCACACCTCGCCTTCTCCAGGGCTTGCTCAGCTCTGGCTCTGACTCTGGCTCTAGCACCAGCCCATCCCAGGGTTCTTTCCTGGTTCTGGGCAGGAGCCCCAGGTCTAGACCCTGTTCTCAAGCCAAATTGGTCATCTCTTAGCCTCCTACGTGGATGCCTGAACTCCTGTTTCGGCTGCTGTGGATGGGAACCCAGAGCCCTTTGGCTCCTTCTGGAAGAGAGAGGCAGAGAGGTCACCGGTAACCACTGCCCTCCTCCAGAGTCCCTCAACACACACGTGACCTCCACAGAGCTGTCCACAGAGAGAGGGGCCATGCTCAGGCCCAGGCAGAGGAGAGGTAAGCCCCGCCTGAGTTCCCTCTGCCGGGGGCAGCCTGTTCTTGGCACGCACCACAGTCCTCTACGTGGGAGCTGGCTGGGTGTGTGTGTGAGGTGTGTGTGGGTCTGCAGCAGGCGGGAGCTGTAGGAGGACTGGAGGAAGACACACGTGCACTCCACTAAGGAGACTGGACAGTCCCCAAAACAAGGCCCCTTCAGACCTGGCAGTGCTAGCTGCTGGCCCGGAGGGGGAGGCTGAGACATGCAGGCCTGAGCAGCTCACCCTTGCCTGGCCCTTTCTCTCTGTCGATTGCCTCAGGGAAAGAAACGCGGCCTGGATGGACCACAGCTTTGCTCCTGCTCCTCCAGAGATGCAGCCGCATGGGGGCCCAGGCCCTGGAACCTCCTTCTCCCATAGTCACATGCTGGGGTGCCCTACCCGCCCCTCAAGGCTCCCTGGAGGCGTATCACCCCTCATCCCTGTCCTCAGGAAGACGATCCATCTGGATGCCTTCCCCCAAAGCCATATCCCACAGACTTCCAGCCGACCAGGCCTGGGGGCCAGAGCCCAGAGTGTACCCCCACAGGAGACTGGCATTGTCCCAGGGGCTTCCCTGAGCCCCCTGCCTGCCAACAGCCTTGTGCCCAGGAAGCTCAGCTCCATCTCCTTAACGCTGCGTCAGAACAGCCAAGCGCGGCCCATGGAGCCCCTACTTTCTCACTGGGAAGAGTTGCCCACCCCAGGAAGGAAGGCTGCTACCCACGACGGAGGGAGGCTGTCTGCTTCAGGCTCACTACCTGTGACCCTAACGCCAGGGGGCAGGGTCCACTCCGAGGGCCCAGGGAACCCGCGTCTGATCACACCCAGCAGGATGCCCACAGTGGAGAAGCCCCTGGTGAGTTCACACCTGGCCTTACCTTTCCAATCCCGGTTAGCCCAGAGTGAGCCAGTCCTTGCAGGGCCAGACCTGGAAGGTCAGGGGTGCCCTGTCCCAGTGACTGCCCACATGCCTACCAGAGCTGCTCCAGCAAGAGGCAAGACCCAGTCCAGGGGTATCCCCAGACCCCGGGTGCGTCCCCAAAGGGCCAATGCCATTATGAACTTGACTACTGTGGACACAAGGACAGACACAGCAAGATATTTAGCCACAGTGGCCACCAACAGACCTAGCTTGGCTACCAATTTGGCCACACCAAACACACCCAGATTGGACACGGGCACAGAGTTCCCTACTCTGAAATCCAAGCTGGGCACAGCTATGAACTTGTCTACAGCAGGCACAGCCAAATCAGGCAAAGCCACGAACTTGACTACAGCAGGCACAACCAAGAATTTGACTACAGTAGGGACAACCAAGCCGGGCACGATCATGGATTTGATAACCCCAGACCTAGACAAGCTGGGCAAAACCATGACTACAGCAGTTACAGCCAAATTAGGCAAAGCCATGAACTTGACTACAGCAGGTACAACCAAGCCAGATATGACTATAGGGGGCACAGCCATGGATCTGGCAATACCAGAGCCAGTCGAGTTGGGCACAACCATAGCTACAGTGGGCACAACCAGATTGGAAACAGCCATGGCTTTGGCAAGAGCAAATAGAGCCAAGCTAGGCACAGCTGTGGATTCTCTTGCTTTGGACATAAGCAGGCTGGACACAGCCGTGGGTTCGGTTGTGCCAGTCACCCCAGACCCAGCCACTGGGGAGACCCCACTGGACAGGGTTAATGACCTGACCACATTGGACATTGCTACCCACCTGGTGATGTCAAGCAGAAGCACAGCCCCAGCCCTGGACCACCCTGCAACAGATGCTGCCCCAGACCAAGCCACGGAACCTGCCACACTGGACCTGGCCAGAGAATGCAAAGGTAAATGCTGAGCGCTTGGCTGGGGATGCACTGGGCTGCTTGAGGGCAGGGAGTGTATGAGCCTGGAAGTGGGTCATGCTTGGAGAATTGGGAAAGGGAGGGAGGACTCTAAGGTCAGAGTTGAATGGGTTTTTGGGAAAAAGGGAATGGGGTTTGAGGGGTCGAACATAGGGGGTGTACCCTGAGCTGGGTCCTAACTTGCTGGTTCAGACGTCAGGCTGAGGGAAGCCATCAGAGGCAAAGTTTACTGGGAAACTTGTGGAGCAGCAATTACGCTGAGTCCTCCCTTTAGCATCTCCCAGGGTTGTTTCTTTGTTTCCTGAAGAGCGGGAATAATCAGGTGATCAGTAAGTGAGGCCAGCTTTTAAGGCAAACCTCCTAAGTGAAAATACTGACCGGCGCTTGAGTAAGCGGTGATTTGTCTAACAGTATTCGCCACTGCAGCGGTCCTCTGAGCGTGAGATAATGTCTGCACCTGAGACCTTCTAAATCTATTCACACTCAGCCTTTTAGGAAGGTATCTATTGCTTAAAAGGTGCCTTACCTGGAAGTCTCTTCCTTGGCCCCTCACCCCCAGTCCTTTAGTCCTGAAAGGTAGGTTGGAGACTTATACTAATACATATGGAAGTCCTACATGGAATGATAAACAGGTCAACACAAGGACTGGAAGTTCATTTGGTTTCAGAGTCTGTGACACGCCTAAAGTCCCATCAAAGCTGGCTGGTGGCAGTAAGCTGATTGGAACCCAGATCCTGGAATTCTGCATAGGGCAGCTTATTGCCAACATTTCAAAGGCTTGGAGATTCCGGGTCTGGAAATGTCCACGGAGAGCATCTGGCCCAGTGCCTGAATTGGGTCTTTGGGCTGCTGGATCCCTTCTCATCCTGCTCTGCAGACTCAGAGAGGGACCTCACCCCCGCTCTGGTCTCCCTATGCAACCTCAGCTCTCCCTCCGTGTTCAGCCTAGCCCTCTCTCCTGAAAGGTGGACAGGGACAGCCACCACCTGCTGGACTCCTCTACCCAGACATCTCTTGGGCATGTCCAGAGACAGCCTTCCCTTTTCTTTGTGAAGTGTCGCCTGCCTCCCTGACTTCACTTCCTCAGCTGCAGGCAGCGCCCACCTTCTATCCTGCGACTAGAAACCTGGGTATCCTTTTTTCCCCTCATCTCTCTCTCGCAAGCTCATCCAGCTGTCTGGCTGTCTGTCCCTCCTTTCCATCCTTCTGCCCCTGTGAGGCCACCTCCCTCCCCCTCCACACAGCTGCCACAGGGGCTCACATCCCGGATGGCCGCACTTTGGGCTTAATATTCTACGATGACTCACCATTACCTTCCCTTAAAGCCCAGCTCCCCAGCCTAGCTTCCAAGGCTGCGGACTTCTCCAGCCTCTCAGCTCTATGTACCTGTCTGGAATCTTCTCTGCTTCCGCTGCACCCAAGAGCTCTGGGTTGACCACCAGCACCACGCAGCTCTCACCTCTGGGCCTCCTCGCCTCTGTGCAGGATGCTCTTTCCTTCTTCCCTCCTGCCTCGCTTGGCCTTCCCATCTCCGCCCTCACCTTCTCCAAACAATCTTCGACAACCCCTCTCTCCCCAGGGCGCCCACCTGCCTGCACCCACAGTACCCTGTGCAAACCCCAACCCCCTGCACTAGGACAATCCAGCTTCCTGTTTCCTCCACTACACCAGGACCTTTGATGGCAGGGATGGCCATCCTCATGTGCCCCCTGGCCTGGCAATGTGCTGTCCGCTAATGTTGACTGAATGCAGGAAGGATTTTTCTGATGGATCAATTGAGGCTGAGGGAAGTTCCTGACTAGGCCAAGGTTATAGGGTTCATCAGCCCGGAGCAGCGCCTGGAAGCCGGGCCCGACTCAGGGCTCGACGGGCGCCGGCCTGGGCAGGACCGCGGGGAGCCAGTGCAGCATCCCCAACACCGCGTGACTCACGCGCGCGCACGGCCGCGGGCAGCTGCCACTGGTCCCCTGCGCCCCCCCACCGGCCCCAGCCCAGAGGGTAAGGGGCCCGGTCTGAGATGCGGGCACCTTTTGGGCGCCCGGAGCCCGCAGGCACGGCGTCCCGCGCGCCTGCTGGGCCGCCCGCAGTCCGGACGTAGGGCCGGTTCCCGTGTGCGGGCGCGGGCGCCGCGGGAGGGGGAGGGGCCCTCGGCGGGTCGGCGGGCGCACGGGTCACGTGGTGCGGGTGGCAGCGGCGGCGGCTGGCGGCGGCAGCATCGGTGCGCGCGGACAGGGGCAGCGCGGCGCCGAGCGAGCCGAGGCGAAGTCCCGGGCGGGCGCGGCGGCGCGGGGTGCAGGGGCGGCGCGGCGGGGCCGCGGGCCGGGCGGGTGGGCGGAGAGCGCCGAGGGGTGAGGCCCTGCTGCAGGGGCCGCTCGGCCCAGGGGGAGCCCGCGCCCCGCTCAGCCTTGCAACCCCGCGCCCTGAGCATCTTCCCGGAGGAAGGGAGACAAAGGAGGATTCATGTCCAAAGGTAGGGCGGCCGGCCGGGCCAGCGACACCCGCCAGGAGGAGGCTGTGGCCCTGGCAAGCGCGGCGGGAGGTGCTACCAGCGGGAGGGTTGCTGCGCCGAGGAGCCCACGCGCGGTGACATATGTACGGACACACGGTGCCATATACCTCGAGAGATAAAATCTTGAGAAAGGCACACACAGGACGCGAGGAGATACAGCGACCCACGGACACGCAAGCAGGGACCCAGATGCGCACAGAAAGCCCCACGCTGGAATACACCAAGACGCGCACATACACATACACCAGGCACAGGTACCAGGGCCACGTACCGCCAGATGATAGACCTGTGCGCTGACACGAATCCCCTCTTCCCCTCCTCCCCCAGGCACACGCTGAGACAGGCACCAGCTGGTGGTCTCCAAGGGAACTCGCTGGCCTCCAGAGGGCTGGGATGGGGGAAGGGGGTGTCCTTTGCTCTTACGGATGGGGAAAGACTAAGATTTCTTTTGTGATTCGTTTTCCAAGAGCCCAGGCCTGGAGCCGGGGTGGACTGGAACTGTCTCTGCGGGTGGAGGTGGGGTCTTGAAGGCTGCTCCGGGAGCCTTCAGTTCAGGAGAGAAGATCCCCAGGAAGATCCCCAGTTCAGGAGAGAAGGAAGAGGGGCCAGCACTAAGCCAGGGTGGCAGGTGATATTTTGAAAAGGTCCCCTCCCCCAACTGCCACCTTCTCAATAGAGGGGTGGGGTCCCTGGGCTAGACAAAGACAAAGCCATTCATTTGCTTGTAAAAGAAAGCACGAGGGTCCTTGCTCAGCATGGGAATGAGGTGCTGTTTCTGTGGGGGACTCCACCAGAGCTGAGTCAGGTGGACAGCGCCTCTCCCTGGACCACCGATGGGGTCTGGAGCTCCTGGCAGAGGGTGCTGCAGACAAATCCCCTCTTCTCCAGGGACCATGGGCGAGCTGGGAGCTCAGTGGGAACACTAAGGACCATCTAGCCAGGGTGGCATACTTGAGCTGCATCCTGCTGTGACTCCATCCTGAGCTCTTCCCCACTCCAATCCCTGTTGCTGGGAGGGAGGAGGTCTCTTAACTGCAGACTGCGGCCAGCCATTTGCTGGGCAGGGGTCGGCTGCTCTGTACAGGGAGAAGCATCTGAGGGAAGAGAAAGGTGATTGCTCTGAAATGACACCTGCTTCACCCTGGGGCTTTCGTTTATCCGTTCATGCATTGCTGAGTGCCTGTGGTATGCTAGGCACATTGGGCACAGAGATCAATAAGACATGGCCCCTGCCCTAAAGAAGGGTGGGAACTCGCACCTATTCAGTGCCAGGTATTTTATGTCCATGATTTTGTATCACCTTCACAGCCACCTAGCAAGGTAGGTACCACCCCCACTTTTCTGAGGAGAAAACTGAGGCTCACAGAGGTCACCCAGCCAGGACTCAAGCGTGGGTCAGCTGGCCATCTGAGGTTAGCCTGGTAGGACCAGAGGAGCTGTAGGGGGAGAGGACGGAGCTGCAGAATCCAGCTCCAGGACAGCATCTGTTCTGTGCTCTGGAGGTCTTTGTGTACTTGTCAGGCTCCCTTGCCAGACAGTGGGCCCTCGGGGGCCACGACCTTGTCTGGAGTACAAAAGTGTCCTTGGCATTAGTCTAGGGCTTGGCTGGAGTGGGCCCCCATTTGGCAGCATATGAAATGGACTGGATGGGATGGAATGAATGAATGAATGAGTGTGATGAGTACCAGTGTGCCCATCGGGGGCCGAGACATCCCATGAGACGGGAGAGCAGAGGCCTTCCTGGGCAGCACTGGAGCTGAGGGTGAAGGCGGGGTAGGACTCAGCCAGGGGCAGGAGGGGGCACAGTGACCTGCAGCATGTTTGCAGTACTTGTGACTGATGGGTGGCTGTTGTCAGCATGTGACTGGCATGTGAGGAAGGGGCTGACTTGCCGGCAGGTGCTCTGTATTGTGCGCGCAATGGGTGCTGGTATGTGCTCACTAGAAGAATGAAAGTGAGAGCCACCATGTCCTGGCTGTGCGGCAGGCTTGCTGTAGCCCCTAGCAGTTGCTTGGGAACCTGGTAGGCCCCCTCTCTCAATTGGGGTCTGTCTTTTGGGAGTGCTTTTCTAGGACGCTGTAGTTAACAGGCCAGGGCTGAGCAGGCCATGGTGAGGACACACACTTTATGAGACTACTTACAAAACCCCTCATAGATAAATACCAGACTCACTTTCCCCACCCCCACTCCAGATAGGGCTATCTCGCAGCACAGGTGTGGAGCCCAAATGGGCTCTGCTGCACACGGCCAGCTGCCAGAGCAGCTGGGGAGGGAAAATGGGGCAGTGGCTCCAGTGCAGGTGTGCCGAGTGGGGCTGTGAGCCACGTGCAAGAGTGGAGGAGCGGGGCCGGGCTGCTGAGAGTCAGCTGCTGCAGGGCTGAGCCAATCTTGCTGCCGTCTGGAGCCGCCTGGCTGGCAACAGCTTCCTGGGAAGCAAGAGAGAGCCACACCAGGCCCTGGGGAGGTCCCGAGGCTTTGTGAGGTTCGGCTGTGCCTGAGCGTGACAAAGGAAAGAACAGTTTCCCATCAGGAGAGAGGGTCTTGCCAGTACTGGAGGAAGGACCAGGTGGTGGGGGACAAGGGCAGACTCCTGGCCGGGTTTAGGGGTGGGAGGGAACACTCTGTCCCCTCTCCCTCCTTCCCATCTGCTGCTCCATCAGGCCTTCCTGTAAGGCTGAGGCTCTGCAGGGCTGTAGTTGTGAACCAGAGGGTTCTAGAATGGCAAAGCTGGCGGGGGGGGTACTCGAGAGAGCATGGAGTCTAATAATGCTGCTTGTGTAATTAGCATGCGGGGCACCTCCCTTTGGCAAGTGCTTTCACATGCACTGTTTCATTCCCCTCCAGACGAGCTGGGAGACTTGAAAGGGGCAGGGGCAGGAGGGTCTGGGACTGTGAGGACGGCGCTCAGTACTCCTAAGCATTGTCGTGTAGTGCTCATCACAGCCCTAGTTGTGATCTTAGTATTTTACAGAGGAGGGAGCAGGCTCCCAAGGGGAGGTGGCCCGCCGAGTCCACAAAGCTGACGAGTGGCAGAGCCAGGCTCTTTCCCCCACCCATTCTGTGGATGGGGAAATGGAGTTGCTCTATCCTGCAACCTTCCCTGGTGGGCAGTGGCCTGAAAAGGAAACCCAAAGATTTCTGCCAGACCCAGAGGGACACCTGCCTTTCCCCACTGGGAGGGGCTGGTTCCTCAGCCTCTCCTTTCTTCTGCCACCCACCATTCCAGGAGCACACTGTGTCATCTTAGGCAAGTGACAGCTCTCATCTGGTTCTCATCTCCTCCCCTCTGGCCCCTGGTCCCACAGATTCAAAACTGTGGGAGGGTATCTGAGGTACGTACACTCCTACTTTGCAGCGGTGCTCATGGAACAGAGAGGACACCGAGGCTGGGAATGGGAGTTGCTGCCCACTCTGCAGAGAAGGTAGCCCTGTTTGCTTCTAAAAGATGAAGCAGCTGAAGTCGATGACAGTCAATAGATCAGTCCAGGATTCTTCAGGGTCTTTGCCCTTTATTTGGGGAGGCAGGACTCAGGTCTGAATAACCCTAGACATTTCTTAGGCTAGTGGTTCTCAGCTGGGGTGGTGTTGCTCCACCATGGGATATTTGGTACCGTCTTGAGACATTTTGGGTTGTCACAACTGGCGGGCTATGACTGGCATCTAGTAGAGGCCAGGGATGCCACTAAACATCTTACATGCACTGGCTGGTGCCCCCACAAGAAGGATTTATCCAAATGTCAATAGTGCTAGGGCGGAGAAACCCTGGTTAGACACATGCGTGTGGTGTTTTGGCCCAGCAACTGGACAACCTGGTACTGGTCCAGATTTTGCATCTGACTGTTCTGCTCTGTGTTCCTGTGAGTCCTTTCTCCTCTAGGCCTCAGTCTCTGCATCTATGAAATGAGGGACCTGGACTGGATGACATTAGGGTGCCCTCCAGTCCCAGCTCCATATGATTCTGTATCAAGAGAAAAATACAGTGGCTTCCACGTGACCTCTGCTCTCCTCCTGCCCGCCCCTCCGACCCCTCCCACCTTGGCTTTGCAGGGTTCCCAGAGACCAGGACGGACGCAGCCATGTCAGAGCTGGTGCCTGAGCCCAGGCCTAAGCCGGCAGTGCCCATGAAGCCCGTCAGCATCAACTCCAACTTGCTGGGCTACATCGGCATCGACACCATCATCGAGCAGATGCGCAAGAAGACCATGAAGACCGGTTTCGACTTCAACATCATGGTCGTTGGTATGGAGAGCCGTGGGGTCACTGGAGGCCTGTGGTGGGCAGCACGGAGGATCACATTTCTTTCCCCAGAACGGCCTCAGTGCTGACTTCTCTAGGATGAACTTTTCCTAGAAGGGAGCTTTTCACCATGCTGGTCGAAAGGCCTGACCCCCTTCTCCCCTCAAGACCAGCTGATCCAGGGGTGGGAGCTTTGGATGCACGGCCAGCCTGTCCCCACCACCAGCTGGGTGTACACAGGCAGCTTTGCCCGCTCTTGCTCTCAGGTTCGGGACACTGGAGAATCATCAATGTCCTTCTCTATTTCCAAGAGCTGGTGGGGAGATGGGATGAAGGGCAGTCTCATTTTTTATCTTTTGTAGTGCTTTAGAACTCCGAGAGAATTTCCAGGGATTTGGTTACTGAGTAGCATCACAGAATGTAAGAGCAGGAAGGACCTTTGCCCCATCTCAGTGAGGTGTTCCCTCCGTGCTGAAACAGGGGTCTGGCCATCATCCTTCTTTCCTCCTCTTCCTTTATCCTCCAATTTAATCAACCGTCGAGTCCTGTCCATTTTATCTCATCAATATCTCTCACATCTGCTCACTTCCCTCCATCTCTCCTGCTGTACCCTAGGCCGAGCTAGAAGGGACACTGGAGAGACTTTGGTGGCACCTGTGGCCATGGTTTCTCCTCTTCCTCTTCCCTCCGGCTCCTGGACCCCCACTGTCTGCTTTGTCTGCCATCTACAGACCCCCCACCCCCAGGTGTCCTCCCAGCTGTTCTGCTCACCCCCTCCTGCCTCACACAGCCAGGTCTCCCGCAGGGGGAGGCAAAACATTCTCTCACCTGGATTGCCATGGCCACCTGACACCATGCAGCTCAGAATGCTGACCTGCAGCAAGATAAGCTCAGCTGGAGCTTGGGCCAGAGTGTAAATCATCTGGAACGTCTTGCTATAGAAAACATCAGCTGAACTGAACAGTGTGCTCTGTGACATAGTTGATTTACCTCTTGGTGCAAACTGGTAGCAGATGGTTCATGGACCCTGGCAGGTGGGCTACAGGCCACACTTTAGAGTGGCACTGACCCTACTGGTTCTCTGTCTCCTTTTCTCTCCAATCCATTGTCCACCAGTGATTGAATAATCTTTCCAACATATAAAACTCATCAAATCACCCATCTTACTTACAACTCTTCAATAACTCTCTTTTTTTTTTTTTTTTTGAGACAGAGTCTCACTCTGTTGCCTGGGCTAGAGTGAGTGCCGTGGCGTCAGCCTAGCTCACAGCAACCTCAAATTCCTGGGCTCAAGCAATCCTGCCTCAGCCTCCCAAGTAGCTGGGACTACAGGCATGTGCCACCATGCCCGGCTAATTTTTTCTATATATTTTTAGTTGTCCGATTAATTTTTTTCTATTTTTAGTAGAGACGGGGTCTCGCTCTTGCTCAGGCTGGTCTCAAACTCCTGAGCTCAAACAATCCGCCCGCCTCGGCCTCCCAGAGAGCTAGGATTACAGGCGTGAGCCACCGCACCCAGCCAATAACTCTCTTTTGAACTCAGGATAATTTTAAACACCAAGTTTGTCCTGGCACTACCTCTCCAACTCATCTCTGACCACTTCCCATCTAGCATTCTACTCCTTGCTCATAAGGAATTGTTCTTGACTTGCCATGCTCTTTCTTACCTCTCAGCCTTTGCATTTGCTGTTCCTTCTGTCTAGAACTCCCTTCCTGCTTCTCATGGCTCATCTGAAGTCATCTTTCACGTTTCAGCTTAGTTGGTGCATTTTCCTAGAAGTTGATATTGATCGCAGAGAGGCCGGGTTGGATTGCCTTTGCAGTGCTGTTACAATGTTCTGTGATTACCTCTCTCATGGTGGTTATTACAACATATTGCAATTGTCTGCTATGTGTTGGTCTCCCTCACACAAAATGACTCCCTGATGGTAAGAATAATGTCTTGTTCACAATTGTACCTCCAATTCTAGGACAGTACTTGGCACTCAAGAATCTTAATGAACAAATGAACTTAGAAAACATCCCAGACCAAGAATGGCAAATTCAAGACCTGGGGGCCACTTCTTTTCCCAGTGGTGCCCCTGACAGACATTGCTGGACAGTCATGGCACGTGTTCAGTCCTGAGCCCAGATGTAGCCTTTTTAACATTGTAGTCTAGTTGGCTACCACCAGCTGGTCCGCTGGAAGGAGAAATGCACCTTACTTGTCATCCCTGGTATCTTCCAATTCCCTCTCTTCCCACCATCCCATCAGTAAGGAAACTGAGGCCCAGAGGGACAAACATGGCTAATCCAAAGGCATTCAGGGGAAATAGCACAGTTGAATCTAGAACCCTAGGCCCTTACCCCTCAGCCTGGTTCTTTTTTTAATGTTCCACAAGAGTGCTCTAGACCAGCATTCCTTAGACTTTACTGTCCATATGATTCCTCTGGAAGCCCAGTTAAAACACAGATTCTGAATCATCGGTCTTGGGGGGGGGCCTGCGATCCTGCATTTCCTAAAAGCGGCAGGCGATTCTGACGCTGCTCGTCAGTTGCAAGGCTCTCTTGTGGGATTCTTGTGCACGTTACAGTTTGAGAAGCACTGCCCAGACCAGTGGTTTTCAAACAATTTTTAGCTGTGGAACTTTTCCTTGCAATGCAATCTGCTGCAGAACTGCATGTGGAAACCAAGTGAAAAGAATGGCATAGTGAAGGCAGTGGAGGTGGGGGCTGCAGCCTCTCTACGTGTGTCTTCACAGGACACTGGGGCTTCTGGGGGCACAATTTAAAAAACTGCTACACTAGAATTAAGAGTGGATGTGGAGCCAAGAGGTTCTTTAGGTTCAAGTTCCTGGTGTCACCCTCTTTCTGTTGCCTTGCACATATTTTATGTTAGAAGGGGATCAATCTCTCTAGGACTATCTAGCTCACCTGGGGATAAAGATAGCTCTGTTGCAGGACTCACAGGGCAGATACAAAGATGTATTTTGCTAACAGATGTGAACATGCATTATGCACAATGAGGCAGTATCAGAATGCAAGGTAATTCTCTTTTTACTTTTAATATTATTAAAGAGTGAAAACCTAAGCAAAAAACCAAACCAAAAAAACAAAAACTGCTATACCAGACAGATACAGGGATTGTCCCCTTTCCCAGTGGTCCTGGGGCTCCAGGAAAGAGAGAATGTGGAATCCAATTGACGCTTTCCCATGGCCTTCTCCAGTAAGCAGGAAGCCGTTCCCATCTGCCTGCTCTCCCCACGCAGCCTCTGTGTCACCCAGGGAGTGGTCACGCGATTGGCCTCAATCACAGTTCTACAATTCTGTAAGCTCATGGGGGGCTGTTAGGCTCAGGAGGTGGACGTGGGGTCTCCCTACCTCCTCCTCCTGCTTTACTGCAGGCCAGAGTGGACTGGGCAAGTCAACACTGGTCAACACACTCTTCAAATCCCAAGTGAGCCGCAAGGCCTCCAGCTGGAACCGGGAGGAGAAGATTCCCAAGACGGTGGAGATCAAAGCTATTGGGCATGGTGAGGACCAGGCAGGGACCCCAGTGGGCTTTGTTCAGAGGGGACCTCTGCCAGAAAGGGGAAATAATGGGGCTTATTAGGGAGTAAGACAAATGCAAGGCAACCTAAGACTATAGCATTGAGCACTACACTCTATGAAGCAAACTCCTTAGGCTGCTGGTTCAGGAAGGGGGGTGCTAGAATACGAAGAAGTGGGCCTTGAGCTAGATGATAAAGCACAGGTAGGATTTAGACAGGTAGGAAGAAGGAGGGTATTCCAGGTGCAGGGGACAGCATGAGGGAAGGTGTTGAGGTGGGAAAGACCCCTAAACTCAACTTTTCCAACAATTGGTCCTCAAGGAAAGAAGAGGCCTGAGTCTCCCTGGCTAGCAGGCTGCAGGGCACCTGGGGTCAGCTGCAGGACTGACCTCTCTGGTTCCTTTTCTTTTCATCCCCCACCCCGCCCCCAGTGATAGAGGAAGGCGGTGTCAAAATGAAGCTGACTGTCATCGACACCCCGGGCTTTGGAGACCAGATCAACAATGAAAACTGGTATCTGTCTGCCTCTGAGATTTTCACCCTAAAGACTCTGCTAGGAAGATACTTCACATGCTGCAGATTCATTCACATTGAGAATGAAAGGAATTGGTTCCTCCATGCTCTGCAGCTTCCCACAGCCCAGGCAGAAGCTAGATCCCCTGGGAAGTTCCACCCTTGCTTACTAACCAGCCAGGAAAGCCATGGTGGGGGTGGGAGCTGAGGGAGAATTGGCCAGCAGATATCCTAGACCCACCAGGGGAGGTGGGAAATGAGAGGGGTGTGAGGCTATTGCTTCCTGAGCATGCCCAAGCTGCGCTCCCAGATCCTGTCCTTCTGATGCATCCACCTACTTTTCCCCACCCCTCAGCTGGGAACCCATTGAGAAGTACATCAATGAGCAGTATGAGAAGTTCCTAAAGGAGGAGGTGAACATCGCCAGGAAGAAGCGCATCCCTGACACTCGTGTCCACTGCTGCCTCTACTTCATCTCCCCCACGGGACATTCGTATGTACCAACCCACCCCTGTTGCTGGGCCTGGCTCTGGTTTGCATCCACTGCCCCCATTCTGGATTGGGTAATCCATATCTTGACTCAGGTGGGGAGGGCCAGGTGGGCTGGAATATAGTCATGGCCCTGTAAGCTTGGGCTTCCCCAGGCTTCCCACAAGAAAGTCTGACTTTCTCACTAGGAGGTTAAAGCAGACCAACGTCAGCCACCCTCCTGCCCACTGGTGTCCTAGCACCACAACAAGACTGTGCCAGCAGAGAGAACTGCCCCAAGGAGGTGTTTTGGTGGGATGTGTGACCCAGCTAGCTATATGCACTTGGAGGGTGGCCAGCGCAGCACGAGGAGCCAGGTGTCTAGAGATGAAGGGCGACCACAAGCGGAGTGTGCTGGGAACTCCGATCATAAGTGACAGGTGGGCCCCATGCAGGAAATGCCAGGAGCAGGCAGACGATGGAGACCCCAGCGGGCCAGCATGCAGCCTGCCTGTGGGGGTGTGTGTCTCATAATTCACTACTAAGCCCAGCTGCTGGGCCAGATCAGTGCTTGAGAGGATGGCACAAGCAAGGTAGACCCCAAATTTTGGGGGAACCAGATACTCAGCAGGTGTTCAGTGACACAGGGAGGAGGAATAAGAAACAAAAATCCTGGGCTGGGCCCAGGGACTCAATAAAAGGTCCCTCCCTAGGCCTTGACCTCTGTCAGAGTGAACCATCAGGCAGCCTGACTTAATGAGTCCCTGATCGCAAAACAGAGCCAGATTGTGGCCCCAGAGCCTGGGGTAGGGGGCAGGCTGGGCCCTCAGGTTGGGGGAGGGGCAAGGCTCCCAGCTGGGCCCAGCAGGACTAACTGTGGGAGCTGGGCAGAGGCAGAATAGGACACACACCAGCAACCAGGACACAGGGACATATGGGTGGGGCCAAGAGTCCACAGATGTTCCAAGGAGAAAGAAATCCCTAGGTCGGGAGAGATGTCCTGGAGGGTTGGTTTGAGTGGCTGGAAGAGAGGCAGGGTTTGTGTGGGAACTGAGGAAGAAAAAGGGAAATGGCACGACTGCTCTGCAGACAGTGAGGCCGTGGGTGTGCGTCGGAGAGGAGAGCTGGCAGCCTCTTGGCCTCAGCCAATGGCCAGCCCAGTCCTCTTCTCCGAGGGCGCCCTGGAGTGGTGGCAGTGGCCGAGTCGGGGAGGGCAAGGCGGCTCTGACATCCCACTTTCTCTGGGCCCCAGCTTGCGACCTCTCGATCTCGAGTTCATGAAACACCTCAGCAAAGTTGTGAACATCATCCCTGTCATTGCTAAGGCTGACACCATGACCCTGGAGGAGAAGTCTGAATTCAAGCAAAGGGTGAGAAGGCCCCTTTCTCCTTTTCCTGTCTCCATCCCTTCCTTCCCCTCCTCTGGGTCCAAGCCATCTCCTAGCCCTTGTCCTTCTTTCACCCCCACCGTGACACCCACCCCAACCAACTCTCCACCTCAGCTCCTACTTGGCTGAGGCTGGTGGTATCTGGGCGCCAGGGATGAAGATGAGTCAGTGCAGCTCCAGCTGCTTTCTTCCCACCCTCCAAGCCTACCTGTGGAGACCACTGAATACCTACCTCACCATGAACATGAGGATCACTCCTCAAATGTTAGGCTACTTGAAGGACTAGACTAGTGAGTCAATCAACTGCCACTGCCAGCCAGTCCTTATCCTTATTGGCATCTTCTATAAGCTCAGCTCTGTGCTGGATGCCTGGGGGTGAGGACTTGGGGGAGGGGAGGGATTCCAGAAAAATGAAAAGACAGTTGCTGCCTTTAATAACTTTGGAATCAAATAGAACAATGAAGGGGTCCTGGATGGCTTCCTGGAGGAGGAGAGACTTAAGCTGACCTTGAAGGCCTTGAATGAGGGCAGACTGAGAGGCTTGGGGTGGGGCGGGCCTCCCCTCTCCTCCTTGCAAACAGGAACATGACATGCAGGGGGCACGAGCACTGCCCAGTGAGCTCTGCACTCAGCTGTGCTGCTTGTCTAAATCTTAGTCTTAAGGACCCTGAGACGAGCAAGCTGGTTGCGAGGACCCAGGGGCCCGAAGCCCTGGACTCGTCCTCCTCTCGGGCTGGGCCGCAGTCATCGCGTAACTGGGCCTTGCGTTTACTCATGACCTTCCTGCTGCCCAGGCTCTCAGAGTTCAGAGATGACTGTGGATCATCGAAGGCAGGAGCCACCTCTCTGACTTCAGCTCACACACATGTAACTCCTCTTCTATTGTCCTGACACTTGGCTACCTTGCGTCTCCCCCCTGCCTCTAGGTTCGCAAAGAGCTTGAAGTAAATGGCATTGAATTCTACCCGCAGAAGGAATTTGATGAAGATTTGGAGGACAAGACAGAGAATGACAAAATCAGGGTGGGTGCCTGGGGCTTTGCTCATCACACAGATGCCCCCTGGGACCCCCGGGATGGGTTTCTGTATCTCCTCTGTCTACCAGCCTCTTTCCATACTCCCTGCCCCACCTTGCCTGACCCACAAAAGCCTCATCTTCCCCCAGAGGGTCTGGCAAAACCAGAGTGTGGGGTGATGGAAGGGGCACCAGGCAGGAAAAGCATCCAGCTGGGGTTTGGGGAAGTTTATGCTTTAGTCAGACCCTGCCTCAGTTTCCCCTCTATAAAATGTAGGAGTTAGTCTAGGTGAGTGGCTTATAGGCTTCCCCCACCCAAAGAACCCTTTTTAAAAAGTTAAATCTCAGAACTCCAATATATAAAATATACAAGCAGAGATGCTTTCCCTGCCCCACAGCAGCCGCCAACATTCCTGCTAGGAATCTTTAGGCTCCATGAATCTGGCTAGGAAACCATCAGCCTATGTGATTTCTAAGGCCCTCTCAATTCTAAATTCCTACAATTCCATGATTGCACATCAGAATCCCGGGATCTAGTCTGGACTTTTCTATTAATCCACTGTAACTTGAGACAAATCACTCTCTGTTTTGGTCTTGAGTTTCCTCCTCCATCAAGAGTGGATAATCTGACCAGGTGTGGCTCTCGCCTGTAATCCTAATGCTTTGGGAAGCTGAGGCAGGAGGATCGCTTGAGGCCAGGAGCGCGCGGCTTCAGCGAGCTATGATCACGCCACTGTACTCCAGCCTGGGCAACGGAGCGAGACCCTGTCTCTAAAAAACAAGCAGAGTGGATACTATAGCAGAAGCCCCCTATCTGACGTAGTTGAGACTGGTAGTTGGTCAGTTAATTGAAAAAGTCAATTGAAATGAGGAAATAATTTTTTAATGATGTATACAAATCATAAATGTTTAAAGATTTTATGAAGTTATTAAGTTAAAATAACTTAAAACATATATATCACATTCATTAAACATTCTTTTCATATAGAGCCAAGGCCTCTTCTTTGAGGATAAATCCACTCTTAATGCCAAAGCAACTCACTTTTATCAAGTCTTTCTGAAACATTCAACTTAATTTTTTTTTGGAGACGGGGTTTCATTCTGTTGCCTGGGCTGGAGTGCAGTGGCACCATTATAGCTCAGTGCAGCCTGGAACTCCTGGGCTCAAGCCATCCTCCTGCCTCTGCCTCCCAAGTAGCTAGGACTACAGGCATGAGCCACCATAGCCAGCTAATTTTTAAAACTTTTTTGTAGAGACGGGTCTTGCTCTGTTACCCAGGCTGGTCTTGAACTCCTGGCCTCAAGTGATCCTCCTGCCTCAGCCTCCCAAAGTACTGGGATTACAGGTGTGAGTTACTGCACCCAGACTCAATTTTCAGAGCAGCAACTCTCCACATGCATGTGTCTTCAATTTATATATTAGTTAATTTATCCAATTACAATAATGTACAAAGCAGGCAAATAGATTTGGGAACAAACAACTGGCTCTTGATGAACAAACAACCCACTTGGCGGAGTAGAGGGGCCCATGAATATCATAAAGTGGCCTTGAGCTCTGGGAGTTCAGTGGGCTTCGGCACCTGCCAGTAGGTTTCATGGGAGATGGTGTAAAGCTTCGGTGAGTCTGGCTGTTGCTTGGATGGGGATTGTTTAAGAGAGGTCTGTCCTAGCGACCTCAGTGTTGTTCCAAATCAAAGGAGACGTGTGAGCTGGGTGCAGTGGCATGTGCCTGTAGTCCCAGCTACTCGGGAGGCTGAGCCAGGAGGATCACTTGAACCCAGAAGTGCCTGGGCAGCATAGTGAGCTCCTGTCTCCAAAACTATGACAGCAGCAACAAAAGATGTGTGTTAAAGCACTGTGAAAAATATGAAGTGCTCTAAAGTTGAAGGAAAGCTGACTTACTGAGGTTAACCAGCCAGGCAGTGGTGTAGTCAGGGTTGGACCCAGGACTCCTGACCTCCTGACTCCCAGGCCAGTGCTGTTTTCAAGAGGCAGGTATTGCTAAATGAGCATCAGAGATGTGTGGTTCAAGGCTAGAGGACCCTATGCTGCCCTGCCCTTGGATGCTCAGGGTGTAGGAGGATGACTATGCACATGTGTCTGGTTTGTGTTTCTGTCCCTGTGCAGCAGGAGAGCATGCCTTTCGCTGTGGTGGGAAGTGACAAGGAGTACCAAGTGAATGGCAAGAGGGTCCTCGGCAGAAAAACTCCGTGGGGGATCATTGAAGGTAATTCTTCTGGAAGAACTGGCTACTGATCAATTATCCAGTGACAATTTATTAAGCATCTGTAGATCAGGGCACCTATAAATATATGCTATAAAATGAATGCCAGCCAGATTCTGCCCTTAAGGAGCTTACAATCTAATTGAGAACATGACACAGGCAGGAAGCAATGAGACTGATTTAGCACTGACTTAACGAGTTGGAGGAGTTTAGTAAGGACTGGGGAAGCCAGAGAAAGGTTTTCACGTGAAGGGGGATGTGATCTGACAAACTGGTGAAAGGTTGCCATTTCCATGTTGTTATGAATAGATGTGACCTTGGGCAGTTCTTGGTGGTTCTGGAAGTTGTCAAAGAATCACATTAACGATCTCGTTCAATACGATAACCTAATGAGGGGAGCAGGGCAGGTGTTCCTGTCCTCAGAATGTAAGCCGCTGAGCCACTGGCATCTCTGACAGGTTAAGTGCCTTGCCCAAGTTCACAGAACTTGTTAGTGGTGAAACTTGGATTTCAGACTCAGATATTTTGATTCCAAAACCAAAGATCAGCTGGGCATGGTGGCTCATCCCTATAATTCTAGCACTCAGGGATGCTGAGATGGGAAGATCGCTTGAGGTCATCAGTTTGAGACCAGTCTCAGCAAGAGCCAGACCCCGTCTCTACTAAAACTAGAAAGAAATTGGCCAGGCAACTAAAATAGAAAAAAAACAATTAGCCAGGTATGGTGGCACATGCCTGTAGTCCCAGCTACTTGGGAGGCTGAGGCAGGAGGATCGCTTGAACTCAGGAGTTTGAGGTTGCTGTGAGCTAGGCTGATGCCATAGCACTCTAGCCTGGGTAACAGAGGGAGAGTCTGTCTCAAATACAAAACAACGACAGCAACAAAAAAAACAGGCCGGGTGCAGTGGCTCACGCTCTAGCACTCTGGGAGGCTGAGGCGGGTGGATTGTTTGAGCTCAAGAGTTCGAGACCAGCCTGGAGTTCGAGACCAGCCTGAGCAAGAGTGAGATCCCGTCTCTACTAAAAAAATAGAAAGAAATTAGCTGGACAATTAAAATATATATATATAATTAGCTGGGCATGGTGGCGCATGCCTGTAGTCCCAGCTACTCGGGAGGCTGAGGAAGGATCGCTTGAACCCAGGAGTTTGTGGTTGCTGTGAGCTAGGCTGACACCACAGCACTCTAGCCCGGGCAACAGAGCGAGACTCTGTCTCAAAAAAAAAAAAAATTAAAAAAACAAAAACAAAAACAAAGATCATCCCATTGTCTTACATTGTCTCTTTTTCCTTTGACCCTTTGTTGGGTTTTTTAAATGATATTTTCTTATCATCTGCCTTGAATTGGAATTATTTATGACAATGTCTGTCTCACTCATTAGATTATGAGTCTAGAGGGTTCATGTCTTAATCCTCGTTCTGTTCCCACAATCCTTGGCAAGTGATTAATCTACGTTGAATTGGATTTCTCATGTAGTGCATGACTTCTTTAAGATGGCTCAACTGTAATTTTCTATGTGCGTTACTTTCTTCCAATCAGATTTTAAGCTCCTTAAAGATAGGAGCCATGTCTTAGACCTCGGCAAGTTTCTTATACTCCCTATGCATTAGTTTTCTGTTCTGTAAAATGGGAAAAATAACAGTCCCTCTTAGCTATTATTCCAGAGTCTAGAACAGCATTGTGCCCCTTGTAGCTGCTTAATAAACATTTGTTCAATGTATAAAACCCAGTGCATGGAATTGAGCAAACCTCTGGAAGGGTTACAGAATAACCCTCGTCTCTCTCCGAAATGCTTCCATGACCTGAACAGAAGTTCGTCTCCTGAGTGTTGCCGTATTAATGAAATGACCACCTGTTTTGTTTGGTTTTGTTTTTTCATAGTGGAAAACCTCAACCACTGTGAGTTTGCCTTGCTCCGAGACTTTGTCATCAGGTAAGATGTCCTCCTGACAACCCTCAGCCCAGATGGCAAGTCGAATTATTTCGGGTGAGGGGCCATCTGCTCAGATTCACTTTCTGAGTCTCCAGGTCTGTCTGACAGAGATTTCTGCCCAGTTCCGACTCTTGCCTCGGAGCAGAAGGGGATGTAGAAGTATCACTGGCTCCCGGGAGTGGGTCCCCATCATTGGGTCCAGTGTCCGTCAAAGCGATGTATCAGCCTCAGATGTGTCACCATTGCGTCTTCCTGCACCTAATCGCATCCCTCTTCTTCAAACCCTGTGTCCTTTAGGACCCACCTCCAGGACCTCAAGGAAGTGACACACAACATCCACTATGAGACTTACAGGGCCAAGCGGCTCAATGACAATGGAGGCCTCCCTCCGGTGAGCGTGGACACAGAGGAAAGCCACGACAGTAACCCCTGACGACCCCTTCTCTGTCATCACACATAGCCACTTCTCCACACACACACACCCCAAATACCACCACCAACCACCTTCTTCCTTTCACCGCTGTCCCACAGGCCCATCTGGTATTTGTGGAGCACCTTGTCTACATCGCGTGTGTGTGTGAGAGGGGGAGTGAGTGCGCCTGTGTGTGTGCATGTAGGGTGAGCTATTTTCATTGCCCTCCCTGGAAAGTCCCTTGTAAGTTTGGTTCCTCCATGACTGTCCGTGATCTGTCTCCTTTCCTAGTGTCCCAGAACAAGGCCGTGTGCCTCACTCAAGAGGTCTTGGGGTGGGGGGTTCACTTAGGAATGATGGGAGCAGGTAAGCCACAGGCAACTCTTATCTCTGAACCTGCCCACATACTGGGGCTGTAGACACTCTCCAAGGACAGGTGGCAGCAGAGCTAGACCTGGTGGGAGCAGGGAGTTCAGGACAACCTTCCCTGTAAGTCGGGGTAAGCCTAGGGCTTCCTGGGGACAAGAAGGTCACAGGAGAGCAGAGAGTAGGCCAGAGCTGGGTTCCTGCAAAAAGAATTAGTGTCTAGGAAGTGGAGCTCCACCCTTCAGTCTGTGTTGTGTTCACTGTCCCAAAGTCACCACCGTTGTCATTGTTGCGGACTCCTGCTATCCACACTCACCTGGCTTCTGCTTCTGGGCCAGTTGCCTGCATCCGCATCCCACTTCGTCTTCTTTCTCCCTCTCCCTCCTCTCTTCATACGTTCCTTCCTCCCTCCCTCTCTCCTGCCCTTTAGATTAATCCACTTCAGTAGCTTCATTTCTATATTTAGAATTTATGCCCAGTCTACTTTCAAAAATGATTTTAGACCACCCTCAAATAAGATCACAACCAAAAGCACGGGACAGCACAAACTGAGATTACCAGAGAAATCAGAGCCTTAGAGAGGAATTGGAAAGAAAGTTTCTGCAATCAAGCGCCGAAATGGGCCCTGAGCTTGTGGGCAGCCAAGGCAAACAGGGAGCCCAGCGAGGATGTGGGTCCCAGGGCCGGGTTAAAGCAAGCACCTGTGCTGGTCAAGCGAGAACCTTTTGTGGCGGCATTAAGTTCTAGAAGAACTAATACTAAAGAAGTATCAGAAAAAATATACAATGTTTGCCTTTCTTGGTGGTTTGGCTTCAGAGACAAATTTTAGATCACATCTCCCTTCCCTGCTTTGGACTTCTCTCTGTTCTAAGCTGGCTTCTCTGTTGCTCCCTTTGTCTCATACACACTTGACTTCCATTTTACTTCTTTTCAATTCTCCCTCACATTTGTGAAGCTAATTACATTTATGTCTGTCTTCCTCTGCTTTCCCCTGATCCCCCCTCCTCCTGCCTACTGTAGACATTCCCAGTGATACCCGCCACCATGCATTTCACCTCTTCTTGCCTTTCCCTGAAGCCCTGTATTTATTAATGCAGATATTTCCCCTGTTGGTGTATAAATAAGTTATTCTTTTCCTCTAGTCTGTAAGGTTGCTGAAATTCGGGGCCAGGGAAACAATTTAGCCTTAGGAAAGGGAAAACACCAAGTGATACTGTTTACAATAACCTCATACAACCTCCTGTCCCATCTCCTGGTCCAGCCTAGGTGTTTAACTGGTCCTCTATGAATTCCAGCATTTATAATCACAATCCTTTATCACTCAGGTGCTAGGAAAAAATATGGACTTAAGATCCAAGATTCAGTGGACCCGGAGACAGAGGTGGGGTGATCAGATCACCAGGGATCCAAAAGCTACGGTTTCAGTCTTTCCTGGAGGCTTATGTACCAATCCAGCCCTCATCCTCTCTTGCTCACAAAGTTACAGGGTAGGCCCTTGTCAAGATAGAACAGCGGCAGTGCTATAGCCCAGAGGTTGCTACATTTCAACAGAAAAGGGATCCGTGGCTGCTCCAGTGAGCAGTCCTGTGTAGAGACCTGGGACTGGACACTTGGGACCAGCAGGGGGAGATCTAGGGGTGCAGGTGGTGGGCACTGGAGAGGCTGATAGGAGAAGGGTGCCAGGCACCCCTGAGCCTTGATTTCAGCTCCCCTTGGAGAAGCTGTTTTGTATGTCTGCTGCCAGCTGCTGGTCTACACACCTCAACCGTTCTCAACTCCCCTGCAGGGAGAAGGCCTCCTGGGCTCTGTCCTTCCTCCTGTGCCAGCCACCCCCTGCCCCACGGCTGAATGAAGGCCATTTCAAGCGCTGCTTCTCCCTCCATCCCTCTCAGCTGTACTGCTGCAGGGCCAAGCCCTTTTTAGCGCTGTGCTTGTCCAGCCCACCGCCACAGCCCCTCTCAGCCCTCAGCAGGTGGGGGCGGCAGCTGCCTCTTTAGGTCAGTTGCGTTCTCCATTTATCCAACCCACTGCTCTCCTCCCAGTGGAATGGAGTTCTGCCAGCGCTGCCGCACTCCATCATCTGTGTCAGCCGGCCCCAGTCCGTCTGTAGGGTGAAAGAACTCATCAAGAGCTGCTTCTGCCCTTGCAAACCCATACCAGCTACTTGTAACCATCCTAAGGGCAATGGCATTGCTCCCTGTCCATTCATCTGCATGAGCTACCCTTGGCTTCCTGAGAGGGTCAAGAAAGCAACTTTTTCTGCTTGTCAGATTCATTGACATCAGCTGTGTGAGCCCCAGTGTGGGACAAGAGTGTCTCCTTCATTGTTTAAAAGTATTCATAAGGGTGGGTCACTACAGATGTTGGGGAGCAAGGGCTAGGATAACTTTTTTAAAAATCACCACTTGTGGCTGGCCCAGAATGTGGTTACATACCCTCCCCACCCCATAACACAGCCACTGAGGAAGAGTGATGTTCCCCGACAGACATTGCTAGGGTTGACTTCCTTATCCCCAAACTTAAAAAGATAACAACACACACAAAACTCCAGAAACTCATAAGATGTACAATCTAGGAAGAACAATAGCACCCTTCTGTCCACTTAGCAATAAGAGGGATCTCTTCCTCCCTACCCTGCCTACTCCTATCCCCACCCCCATCCCATTAATGTGAGTAATGAATTAGCCTGGCCACAGGTGGTTGCTATAGGCTAACGGAAAATACCCGACGAAGGGCAAAGCCCCCATCAGATGCATGAATGTTTGCGAGTGTCAGCTGCCACTGCCCCACACACTGTGTCTTTATGGAATCCCCCCTTGCCCACCCCACCACCACCTCCACCTGGACACAACTTGCTCAAAGGCTGGTGACTTGTGGGCCATTCATCTACAACCAAGTCCTGATGGAGCAAGAGGCCCAAGCCTAGGGGATGCAAGAACGACCCATTTCTTAAATGTTACCGGTCCCAGCCAATCTTATGGTGACATTATGGTTAAATTTCCCAACTGAAAACAAGCCAACAGACACTCTAAGTGGTCCTGTAAATGTTGCTAGACTTTACATGTTGTACAACTAAACATTGCTGTTTGAACAGTAACTGCTTGGCCTGTCTTATTTGTGCTCCTTGACCAAATCAGCCACTACACCATCTCACCCATGTGTGGAGACTGAGACAGGGACCATCTTGGTAAGAAGTAGCCATGGATTTTAGAAACAGGAACACTTTGTGAGGTTAGTTCATCTTTAACTGGCATGAGGTCAGACCCCAGTCATCATTTCCTGGGGTTTTGTATCTAAAATGAGTGATGGAGCTATCACACCTGATCTTGAGGGATGCTGTGCTTTGCACAGCCTGTCTCCAGTGAAAATGATGTTTATTTTCATTCAATTAACTTCCTAGCTTTTTCCTGAAGGCATAAGGACCAAGTCAATGAAAGGAGTGGGCCCATCTTGCCTAGAGAACTGCTTATTTTACAGTGAATACTTTAAGAATTTAAACTTAAGCACTAGCTTGTGTTTTCCTTGAACTCAAACTAATCCTTCCTCTCCTTGAGGTGCATACTCTCATTTGTACCCAGCAAATAACGCAACTTTCACCTGCATATTATTTCTCTAATGTGACAACTGGATGCAGTTATGTTTGGGGCCTCAACATTCTGTAGGGTGAGTGCAAGGTGAATGGTGGGAAGTGGTTTGGAGGGGTCAAAGTTGGTGGAAGACAAGGCAAGAGGCTCTTGGAGTCATTCAAGTATTATAACATGATGAGGGCAGGAACTGGAGTGGCATCATGACACTGAGATGAAGAGAACTGAGATTTGAGTGATAAAACAGTTCAGTGAACATAAAATGTCACTGCTAGAACAAACCTAAGAGCTCTTCTAGTCCAACGCCTTCATACAGATGCAGAAACTGAAGTCCAAAGAGCTTAATCACCTCGCTCAAGGTTGTCTATAGCTGCCACCACAGGATAGGGACTAGACCTCAATGCTTGTTCCACTGCTTCACACTATTCCCATTGTATTTCATTTGTTCTAATAAGTATTGTATTTTAAAACAAATTTTCTGAAGTCAGGATACATTTACAACCGATGGCATGTCAGTTTATTTGGCAACTTTTTTGTCAATGGTACGTGAAAAAAAACGATGCATCTTAAATTCAATGAAAATTGACAGCATCTTAAATTCAATTAAATATAATAGTCACGAAGTCAGGAGCCAGGAGGGCAGGTGAGGTCCATGAGGCCACTCACCTGCCACAGCCCTCTACCCTCCAGGGGCGGAGACAATTCCTTGGACACGCCCCTTTCCTGTCAGGGGCGTGTCTCAACCCTGACTCCGCCTGGCCCTCTGACTACTGCCCCCTTACGTGACCAGACGGCTCGCCGACTCACTCCTCCTCCTTGCGCCATAATCTCCGCCCTTCCCTTCAGAGCCCCCGCCCCACGGGTTGGCGCAGGCCCCTCCCTTTCCCATCTGCGGGGCTGTGGGAAGGAGCCCCAAGCAAGATGGCGGTGAACCAGAGCCACACCCGGGACCGCCGCGGGGTCATCATCGCCTATGGCGAAAGGTGCCTGAGGGAAAGCCCGAGTTGCTGTGGGAGGAGGGAGGGGAGCGAGGAGATCAATGGGGTAGACTTGGAGGCTCTGAAGCTCTCAGCGAATCAGGGACTTTTCCGCCTTGGGGGGGCGTGGCATGTTTAGCTCCGCCCCCGACATTTGGGAGCGCACCACTTCTCGGGTGTTCGGAATCTCGAGGTCGCGCAGGCGGGAACGCGCGCTCTCGCACGCGTGGAGGACGAGGGCGAGGGCGGGGGCGGGCCTGCTCGCGGGCGCGCAGGGCAAAAGGCGCGTGTCTCCTCCAAAGCAAGGTGGGAGCGGATTGGCGGTCCTGAGGAGTCGGCCTCTCAGCCGGCTCGCGGCGTAGCTGCCGTTGGGAGCGTGCGACTTTGTAGGGTGATGGCGGCCCTCCCCCGACTCCTGGGAACAAGGTCCGTAGCTTTGGGGAGACGAGGGAGGAGGAGGTGAAGTGTATATCATTCTAGAAAGATCCCGAACTGTTGGGGCCCCTCTCCCTGTCCCGCGGAACTTTCCAAAGCCCCCTCCCCAACGAGGGAGATGTCTGTCCTTACTTTATTCCTGATAGGGCCAATCCAAGATCGGAAGCAAAAAGGAGGGATTCCTGGGCGGAATGAAGCGCCCTGGGCGTCCCACGGCGCTGTGGGGTTTACCCCAGTCACCTTGCGTGGGGCGGTGCCCGCTGCTAGCTCCTGGCTCTTGCCTGGGTCAGGCTCTGGGGGCCAGGGTGGGGGCAGGGCTAGGGGGAGGCCGTCCTCACATCGGGGGCACACTCAAGCACCAAGGTCTCCCTCCGCTTCCCTCCTTCCCAGCCCCCCTTTTCCCGCAGTCATTTTCAGTCTCCCCAGCTGTGCAGTTCTGAATTCTCCTCTTTCTTCTCTAACTTGCCCTCATTTTCCTTTTCTCCCTCCTAGCAGTGAGACTCTCAAGCCCAATGCTGTGCTCTGGTGAGACTGAGCACACCACACCCAGGTCAGTTTGAATGCATTTGTCAGGAAGATCCAAGAAGACATTACCAAATGCTGATGTCCAGATCTTTTTCCTATGCATCCTTCCTCCAGAACGTTTTCTTGACAGGTTTATACAGGGCGTTAAATCTGGTTGTACATCCTCACTTGGTTCCGAAGTACCTCTGCTGATTCGTTCAATTTGGTAGTAGGAGATGATTGTTCGCCACTCTGACTGCGATATCTCAGGGCGCACTGACTGAAAGGACTTTGATCTGTGCACCTGTCATTCTGTGCTGTGAAGCCATTTCTAATCTGGTGTCTCAGTGTCTTCTCGCTCGGGCTATGTGTGTGTCTCCCTGCTTTGCTGTTTGTGTGCTGGAGACGGTGAATGAAGAAGCATGTTTTTTAAAAATTAACTATAACAGGAAAACTGATTTTATGGTCCTTTGAATTATCTTTATGGGGTCAAGTCTGTATTCCTGAATACTTAATAATAGCATTTATTGCACACTTAAATATGCTATATACTGTTCTAAGAGCTTTATACTGTACTTGTAACCACTCTATCTACAATGAGGATCAGTACTGTTTCCCTCATTTCACAGGTGGGAATGCTTAAACAAAGAAGTAATTTGCTCAAAATCATTAGGCCAGTGTGTGTGGGAGAGCTTGGGTTTGGATTTGAATTCAGGTGCTATGCATTAACTCCTTTACTCTAGCTGTTCCTCAAAAAAGAAAAGGACTGGCCGGGCGCGGTGGCTCACGCCTGTAATCCTAGCATGAGACACCATGCCCAACCAACAGCGGTTTGATTACTGTAACTTTGTAATATATTTTGAAATCAGGAAGTGTGAATCATTTGTTCTTTTTGGAAATTGTTTGGCTATTTGGGACCCCTTGAGATTCCATATGAATTTTAGGATGATTTTTTTCTATTTGTGTTGGGATTTTGACAGGGATTGTGTTGAATTTCTACATCACTTTGGGTAGTGTGGCCATCTTGACAATATTAAGTCTTCTAATCCACGAACGTGAAATGCCTTTTATTTGTGTTTTCTTCAGTTTCTTTCAGCAATGTTTTATAGTTTTCAGTGTATAAATAACCTGAGGTTATTCCTAAGTATTTTATTCTCTTTGATGTCATCATAAATTGAATTGTTTTTTAAATCTCCTTTTTGGATTTTTCATTGTTAGTATGTAGAATTGCAACTGATTTTTTTTTTCTTTCTGCTTTCTATGACTTAGCAACCCAATTGCAACTGATTTTTGAGTGTTGATTTTGTATACTGCTATATTGCTGAATTCATTTATAGTTCTGACAAGTTTTTATTGTTTTGAGATAAGCTCTTGCTCTGTCACCTGGGCTAGAATGCAGTGGCACCATCATAGCTCACTGCAACCTCAAACTTCTGGGCTTCAGTTATCCTCCTGCCTTAGCCTCCTGAGTAGGTGGGACCACAGGCATATGCCACCATGCCTGGCTAATTTTTCTGTTTTTAGTAGAGATGGGGTCTCACTCTTGCTCAGGCAGGTCTTAAACTCCTGACCTCAAGCAATCCCCTTGCCTCGGCATCCCGGAGTGCTATGATTACAGGCATGAGCCACTACACCTAGCCAGTTCTGATAGTTTTTGTGTAAACTCTTTAGTGTTTTCTCCATATAAAATCATGTTATCTGTTACTTCTTCCTTTCCAATTCAAATACCTTTTCTGTTTTTTTCTTGCCAAACTGCTCTGTCTAGGACTTCCAGTACTATGTTGAAGAGAAGTGGTGAGAGCAGGCATCCTTGTCTTGTTTTTGATCTTAGAGGGAAAGCTTTCAGTCTTTTATTATTGAGAATGATGTTAACTGTAGCTTTTCACATATGGCTTTTATTATGTTGGGGTGGTTTCATTCTGTTTCTAGTTTATTGAGTGTTTTTATCATGAAAGAGTTATCAAATCTCATCAGATGCTTTCTCTGTATCAATTGAGATGATCATTTGTCCTTCATTCTGCTCATGTTATGTAGTACCTTGATTTTCCTATGTGGAGCCATCCTTGCATTCTAGGAGAAAATCCCACTTGGTCATGGCATATAATCCTTCTAATGTGCTACTTAATTTGGTTTGTTAGTATTTTTGCATTAATATTTGTCAGAGATACTGGTCTATAATTTTGTTGTATAATCTTTGGCTTTATTATCAGGGTAATTCTGGCCTCGTAAAATAAGTTTGGAGGTACTCCCTCTTCTTCAACTTTTGGGAAGAGTTTGAGGAGAATTAGTGTTAATTCTTTAAATGTTTGGTAGATTTCATCAGTGAATCCATCTTGTTCTGGCCTTTTCTTTGTTGGGAGGTTTTTGATTACTGATTAATTTTTTTTTTTTTACTTGTTATTGGTCAATTCAGATTTTCTATTTCTTCATGATTTGGTATGGCAGGTTATGTGTTTCCAGGAATTTATCCATTTCTTCTAGGTTATCCAGCTTGTTGGGATATAGTTGTTCGTGGTATTCTCTTATAATTCTTTGTAATTCTGTGACTTCAGTTTTAATTTCTCCTCTTTCAGTTCATTTTATTTCTTTTAGTTATTTGAATCTTCTCTCTGTGTCTTCATTGATCTAGCTAAGTTTGTCAATTTTGTTGATCTTTTAAAAAAAATCCAACTCAGTTTTATTTATTTTTTTCCTATTTTTTTCTCTTTTCTCCCTCATTTATCTCTGCTCTAATCTGTATTATTTCCTTCCTTCTGCTAACTTTGAGTTTAGTTTGTTCTTTAGTTTCTTGAGGTGTAAAGTTAGGTTGTTGATTTGGGATTGTTCTTCTTTTTTTAATGTACACATTTACAACCATAAACTTCCCTCTTAACACTACATTTCACATCCCATAAGTTTGGTATGTTGTGTTTTCATTTTCATATTTCTCAAGGTATTTTCTAATTTTCCTCATGATTCCTTCTCTGACCCATGGGTTATTTAAAAGTGTATTATTTAATTTGTACATATTTATAGCAGTGTTCCTTGTGCTGTTGAGTTCTAGTTTCATTCTATTGTGATCACGAAAGATATTTTATATGATTTCAATCTTCTTCAATTTGTTAAGAATTGTTTTGTGGCCTAATGTAGTTTATGCTGGACAATGTTCATATGCACTTGAGAAGAATGTATATTCTGCTGTTGTTGGTTGGGATGTCCTGTATATAACTGTTAGGTCTGACTGATCTATGGTGTTGTTCAATTCCTCTCTTTCCTTGTTGATCTTCTGTCTGGTGGTTCTATCTACTATCAAAAGTGGGTTAATGAAGTCTCCTACTGTTAACAGATGCTCCTCAAATTATGATGAGTTTATGTCATGATAACCCATCTTAAGTCAAAAATACTGTAATTCAAAATGCCCTCACTACCCCGATAAACCCATTGTGAAGTCAGAAAATCCTAAGTTGGGCCAGGCTGGGTAGCTCACGCCTGTAATCTTAGCACTCTGGGAGGCCGAGGCAGGCGGTCGTTTGAGCTTAGGAGTTCGAGACCAGCCTGATCAAGAGCGAGACGCCTGTCTCT